CCAGCCAGGTTTCAAGATGGAATTCGGGTAGCCGACATCGATTGCCCTCAAGATCATTCAGATTGTCCATATGAGGCGCGCCGCGGAGCTGACCATCCAATTCATAAACCCAGCGATGATAACGACAGGTAAACCTTGTGGCATTACCAGCGCCCTCAGCGACGGTGAAGTATCGGTGACGGCAGATCGCACTCAGCGCCCGCACCTTCTCGTCTCGGCCGCGAACAATCACGATGGGCTCGCCCAATACTTCTCGAGTAAAAAAATCACCTACATTCTCAACCTGCTCAAGACGACCCAAACAGATCCATTCTTTGCGGAAAATGACCTCCTGCTCTAGCTTGAAGAGCGCCTCGGACGTGTAGTGATTCAAGGGCAGTGCACGCGCTTCGCCAATTTTCTGTGTTTGGTATTCCCCAAGTTGTTGCAGCGTCTGGCTCAGCGATTCCATAGATAACCTTTATCTATCTTGAATTTTTCGGGATAATAGGTCGACAACCTAAATATGTCAACGACCTATTATGAAGCGGAATCAAGAGACCCTGTCGAAGGGTGAGCGTAGACGTGCGGAGATCGTTGAGATTGCCCGGTCCGTTTTAACAACGGAAGGATACGGCGCATTTGCGCTGCGAGATATCGCGACGCGCGCCGATATGAAGCTCGGCAATTTGCAGTACTACTTTTCGACGAAGGAGTCTTTGCTGGAAGCCATTATCCGTGCCGAGGCAGATCAGGACTTAACACTGCTGGTGGATGAACTGCATCAGTTCGATGATCCGAAAACTCAAATCGCCTGTTTCTGTGAAACCATCATCACCCGTTGGCGTGGCGATAGCGGCAGGATCTTTACCCTGATGACTTTCCTCGCTAACGAAAACGAGGTCTTTGCAGAGATCTATCGAGAGATCTATAAAAATTTCTATGCTGCGTTGATTCCCATACTTAAGTCTCTTAATCCTGGACACAGCGCAACCGCGTACCACCGCCGCGCCATGCTTATCACAGCATTGATCGATGGTGCGCCCGCTCAGGTAACTCAGGGTAAATCGCAGCAGTTTCTTAAGGACGTGACAGTGCTTGCGGAGTCCATTGCGTTGGCAGAATCAGCCTAGAGACGAGTATCACGCAACCGACCGACAATATGACCCCGCCGCCATATTCCATTGGACTCAACGCTCTGTGGATAGGGAAAATAACGTGTCTTTTCCCGCGTTGCCAGTCGTATGGGAGGAGTTGGCGAAGCGGGCAGTGTTCGTTCAGTTGTTCGTCATCTATGTTCGGCGATCCGGTCGGGTGGTTTCTGGTGCGCCTCGGCGGCCCTTGGCGGCTGGTGCGGGGGTGCCCGGCTGTTGAGGTGGTCGAGGATCCTGCGAATGAGGTTGACACGTGGGCGTGGTACGAGGGCAGCAGGACGGGCGATGAAGTCTTGCGGGCTGAACAGAATGTGGGTGGTGCCGTCGTGGTCAGGGGCATGTCCTGGGGTTAGTACTGATGCTGCTGATGTACAGCTTTGGTCTTGTTCAGCCAGCCGAAGTATGTGGTTACCGTACAGGTGATTATAATTCCTGTAGCGCTCCGTTAGCGGACAGCAGGCAATTCGTAATTCTACAGAAGGAACCAGGAAAAAAATGACAAAGCTGGGTTATCTGATTCCTACCCGTGAACAGATTATGTCAGGGGTGCATGAGACAAAGCCTCTTCTCGAGTTGGCGCGATATGCGCAACAGCTAGGCTACGATTCTCTCTGGGTTGGTGATTCCCTCTTCTCGCGAGCCAGACACGATCCGTTAACCCTCATTGCCGCGTTAGCGACGGCGGTAAGTGATGTTGAACTGGGTACCGCGGTGCTGCTGCCTGCGCTACGCAATCCGGTTGTGCTGGCTCAACAACTGGCTACGCTCGACCAGATCTGTGAAGGCCGACTGATCATCGGAGCAGGAATTGCAGCTGATGCGCCGATGATCCACAACGAGTTCAGAGCAGCAGGCGTGCCCTTTGAAAAGCGTGTGGGACGTTTTAACGAGGGGTTTGATCTGTGTCGGGCGCTGTGGACAGGTGAACCTGTATCCTGGGATGGCCGATGGCATCTGGAGAATGTGCAACTTGCCCCGCGACCGTATCGGCAGGGTGGACCGCCCATATGGTTAGCCTCCCGTGTGGATGCCGGCGTGCGCCGCGCGGTGAGACGTTATGATGGATGGTTTCCGTTTGGACCAACTGCAGCGGAGGTGGCTCGCCAGCACAAAATCGCCAGACAGGAAGCGACAGCGCTTGCTAAAAGTTCAGTGACCGCGGTTTACCTGACAGTATGCGTGGGTGAAGTCAGAGAAGCGCCGGAACAACAGATCGATAACTATTTACACAGTTATTATGGTGCTCCGCCGAACCTGCTCAGGAGTGTGCAGGCCTGTTGTGGTGGTTCTTTGGAGGAGGTGAAGAGCTTTATTCGGTCTTTTGAGGAAGCTGGCGCATCGCATATTGTTTTAAGAATTGTGGGGGATCATCTCCGCACCCTCCGCCTGCTTTCTGAGCATCGATAACAAATAGGTGCCAGGCACGGAGCGGTCCATCGCGTGTACCTGGTCTTATGAATCGTTCAGGCGATCTGACGCTGGTCCAGTTCGATGATGTCAGCGGACATATGCATCTCTTCGTTCCAGTGGATGATTTTGAACTGTCCATGCTGGTCTTCCACCAGCGCTGTGCAGCTTTCCACCCATTCGCCACAGTTCATGTACTGCACGCCTTCAATATCATGAATTTCAGCATGGTGGATATGTCCACAGATGGCCCCGTCATAGCCCTGACGGCGGCATTGGTGAGCTATAGCGCCTTCAAACTCGCTGATGAAGTTATCGGTCTCAATCGCACGGACGACGATCGCAAGTACCCGGCTCAGGGTGTCGGGTTGACTCGCAAACAGCAGGCGCAGAGGCCAGGGAAAGGTGAGCACCCATTGCCGTGTGGGCACTGGCGGTATGACATGGTCGACCAGATGGGCTGACGGTTCGATCATGCGGTGAGCGCCGCAGGAGGGACAGAAGCCTCGCCGTTTGCAGGAGAAAGCGACCAGATGTTCATGGCTACAGCCGTTGCATTTGACGCGCAAGAATCCGAGTTCGAGCCGCCCACAGCGCAGGTAATCGTCGAACTCGTTCAGCACGAAGCGGGGAAGAGCGGTTTCATGCTTGCGAAGTTCATCTCGCAGGCTCGACAGGTGCTGCTCGACGATCGGATACAGCGCCGTGTTCTCTGGCTGATGTCGCTGATAGCGCTGGCGGCTACCGAAAGGCAGGTGATTCGACGGTGTTTCCATCGGACTACTATTGACGCTGGAGGCGTTCGATCCCAGCAGTCGATTGCGCCAGAGTACGTCATTCCTCTGCTCAGTCAGTCCCACACAGCGTTCTTCTCGTTCGTCAGTACGTGTCAAAATCTTGCAGGCGTGCAAGATCATTTGCCCGGTCGAGACAGGACCCCGTAGCTACCAACAACATCGAACGCCGATAATTGCTTGGCGACTTTAAAAAAACCAGCTGTCGTCTTCTTCCTCTGCGGCATCACACATCGAAGCTGCGTTCACCAGGTTGGCTTTCATCGTCTCATAATCAGATGCTGTTACCGCATCCTCTTCGAGAGCACGTTTCAAGTCTATGAGTTGTTGTCCCAGAGAGACGTCTCCCATCCTCAGGTTGCGTGGATTGTTTTCCTGTATACAGGAAGACAGCAGGAGCACAACAGCAATGGGGAGCAGCAATTTCATGTGAGGTCCTCGGCAGACTAAATAGAGATTCGCAGACCCTCTATTTTGCCGAGTTAACCACACGGCGCAAGGCAACCGGCTGTTAAATTGTCAGTGGTAGTCGCGGTCGCCTGGGGTTACCTGCCAGTTGTTGAAATCCAGAGCGCCCTCTGGATCATCTGGATAGGAAGCCTCAAACCAGTTGTTGGTTTTGTACGGCAGCATGCCGGCCTTTTTGAAAAGGGTCCAATGAGGCCAGGCGGGTGGCCCAAAGAAATTGACGTATCCCGTGCCAGCCTGGCGTGCAACCTCTATGGAGCGACGAAGGAGTTCCGCTGCAGTTAAAGGGTCGTTTGCAGGCGCTGCAAATTCGGCGAGTGTCGCCTGTGCGCCACCCATTCTGAGCACGCTGTAAGCCACCGGCGCATCATTTTTATATAGTACAAAGGCCTGGTAGGACTCCAGTGGGTGTTGCAGGTATCGCCAGTTTAAAAACTCCGCATTATGAGGACACCAGTAACCTTTGAAAGCCATGGTTTTGAGGGTGACGGCATCGATGTCGCTGGAGAAAGAAGAGATGTTGTCCAGTTGGTAATTTGTATCTTGTTGTCCACGTAGTACTCGTTTTGGCAACAGTGAGTGTAATGCGTTAGCACCGAATCCCGCGATGCTGCGGACAACGCTAGGTATCTGTGGTGCTGTATCTTCAAGCAGAACCCTTGCGTCCAGCAGGAATAATCCGCCTGCTAAGCACCCCAGAATCTGGTCAGCTTGCCCCGCTTTATTAGAGACCGTGCGCGAGCCTTCGTTTGGTCCAGAGATAGAACACACTTTGCCGTGGCTTTCGTGAGAGTATCGAACGTCTCTGCGAACACTCGATAACCCGGATCTCTGCCATTTAGGCACCGTTGCTGAATCGCCAGAGACTGCGCCTGGAACGGGTTGGTTACCACGCCAGATTGGCCACGGATATTTTGCGCCGGTTTTGACAATTTCTTTGGTTGCGTTGTCTTCCACAATCCACGCCAGTGCCCGGCCATATGGATTTTTCAGGTACATCCAGTCGTAAGCTTCCCGCGGCCGGACTTTACCGAACGCTGCATCTACACATCGGTAGATCCCCTCAAAGTCAGATTCGAGCGCCTGGCGGACCGTGAATCTTGGATCGCTACTGGATAGTTCCGCGGGATTGCGATGAAAGTCGTCAAAGGGATCTTCAGGTATCGCGATCAACTTTTTCTGTTCCGCCAATTGCGGATTAAAGGCGGTCACTGAAGAACTCGTAACGTAACGACAATTCGATTTCGTAAGACTGAGCGTCTTCGCTGGCGGCGAAGCTCGCTGGTCGTTCGCTATCCCGATAACGGAATTCCAGTCCGCCACTTAACAGGCGGGTGAAGTCATACCGACCGCCGACCAGTCCGGTGAGAACGTCTCGATCAATGTTGCCGCCGGCATCACTGATAAACGCGGCATCTCGAAGTGCAGATCCATCACTATCCTCTACAAGGGTATAGTCGATGATCAGTGCCTCAGTGATGGCGTCTCTTTTGTCCAATGTGAGACGAGCGTAGAGCTGCCAGCGCTCGCCAGCGGGTACGTAATCTGCTCCTAGTGCAAACTGATCCAGGCTGCTGGCGAGGGACTCACCTGCAGTTGCTGTCTGTCGGCGTGTATAGCTGGCTTCAAGCTCCCAATCGGAAACGCGTTTGGTGTACACCACGCTGCCGAAGAAGGTCACATCGTCGTCGCTGGTGTCAAAGCCGGTGAAATCCAGAAGGTAGCTTTGCCGAGGGCCAAGATCACCTGCGGGAATGGCTGGTGCGTTAGGGTCAGAAAAATCACACAAACTGGCTATTGGCTGGCCTTGACCGCCGCCGATGCCACAGGCGTTGAAGTTTGCACGCAACAGGTTGCGCCCGTTAGAACGTCCAACATTAGTATTGGTTACCGTCTGGCTGAGACGGTCCTGCTCGGTGTCAACCCAGGTTGGACCCCCTTCAATGGCCAGGCTTGAGAATTCATCGAACCGGTAAGTCCACAGTAGAGAAAGAGAGAAGTAGTCGCTTTCGGCACTGATACGATTATCTGCACCATCGAAATCCTGGCTGGCGTAGCGTACGCCCACGCCGATATCCTGTTTTTCACTGAGGAGATAATTGACAGCGACACCGACTTCGGTTGTGTCACTGTCGCTGCGGTTGATATTGCGCTTGAAGTCAATGGTCTGATAGCCGAGGTTGCCACTGACAGACCAGCGCCGAGAAAGCTCGCGCGTTAGATCAACGGTGATGTCATTGCGTTCGTATCGGTTCTGACTGATGTCAATACCTGTGTCACCGCTGTCGAAGTCTGCCAAATCAAATTGTAGATTCGAGACATCGCGATAACGCTGGTTAAGAATAATCTGCGTGATGGGATCAATGTCATAGTGAAGCCTGAAACGCTGACGATGTTCCATGGCATTGGCTTCGTCGGCTTCCGCGTAAGACTGGTAATCTCCCCGGTAGTTGAGCAGATAATCGAGGCGTCGCTCAGGATCGCTGCGCAATTCCAGTTCTGTACCGGCTTCCAGCAGCATGTCACTGTCTTCGTCACCATCTGTACCAAATACGTTGGAGTTATAGGCGGAAGAGCCAATGAAAGCCGCTGAAAACTCTGTGGCCTGGCCTGTCTGAGCCAGCGTGATGGCTGCAGCGATCAGGGCGAGTTTTGAGAAGTTAGTGTTTTTCATTCTGGTACCACCACGGTGTCACCCGGTGCAAGTAAAAAGTTAGAACTGCGGGTACGACCTTTGATGAAATCGACGTAGTCGAAACGAAGCTCTTCCTCAATGTTGTCGGTGGTCCGCAAAACCATGATGTCGCGCTTCTTGGCAAACGGGGTAAAGCCGCCCATTTCCGCAATAGCATCTAACACTCTCATATCGTGACGAAGTTCCAGCACGCCGGAGCGTTCTATGCCGCCACCGATGACGCTGACTACCTGGCTGCGCATTTCTACGACAGATATATCTACCTGGGGTTTGGCGACGTAGTCGACCAGGGCAATCTCAATGTGTTCAGCAAGTTCTTCCGGTGTTTTGCCTGCGGCGCGAATATCGCCAATCAAAGGTATGGAGATTTTGCCATCGGTGCGCACCAGTGCAGGTCCGGAGAGCTCTTCCTGTTGCCAGACCAAAACGTTCAGCAGATCTGGGATCCCAATTTTATACACATCTCCTGTGTCTTCTGGTTCAGCGGCAGACAGCTGGACACCGCTGATGCTGAATAGAATAAAGACAAGTGTCTTAAGGGCGGTGGATGAGCAGATGGTTGTTATATGTTTTGCTGTGATGTTCACGTGCTTACCTTGCTTCGAAAACTAAAATATTGATTGCCCAGGGCAATAACTGCCGGCAGCAGCAATGCGCGGAACAAGCCGAACTTATATCCCACCACAGGTAACCTTAATATTTCCTGACTGTCGGTGATGGGGAGTCGGTTGACGCCGCGTTGTCCGCCAAATGCTAATTCGTAGCCTGCCTGTCTGGATGCGCTGCGCACCGCGGAGTTCGTGGCGTTAGCCGGATACGCGAGCACGGCTATATCAGCATATGAGCCGAGCTCCGCCTGTAGCTTTGTTTGTGATTCCGTCAGATCTTCGCGGAGTTGTTCTGTATTCAACTGGCTCATCAAGGCATGGTCCCGCCCGTGGGAACATATACATAAGCCCTCAGCTGCCAGCTTACGCAACGCATCCCAATCCAGGACCTGGTTTAAGGGGGGAGGATGGCCGAGTATGTCTAACGTCTGCTCCACCCACGCCATGGCTTCGCCATGTGGTAACGACTTCACGTGATTGCGCATCATTTTGTAGGCCTGGCGCCTGAGGTGTGAATTCTCTAAGGATAGCTCCGGCAACGGAGCGCTCTGCAGGGAGGTCAGCTTTGTCTGTAGTAGTGCGGCATGAATCCGGTCCCACCAGAATCCGCGGTTTTCACCATCTGGAAAAGCTGTGGGCACAAACAGGGTGGCAGGCACACCAACATCTTTAAGGATTGGCCAAGCCACTTCAGCAAAATCCCGGTAGCCATCGTCGAAGGTCACCAGCACAGCTCTTGCAGGCAGTGTGGATTCGCCTCGGTGGGCTGCCAGCAGCTGAGCCATGGAGATTGGGTTATAGCGTTTTGCCAGCAGCTGCATCTGTTTTCTGAACTCTTCCGGGCTTGCGCTGATCAGCCCGGGTTCAAGATTAGGCGATTCGTCCGCATATCCAACACGGTGATAGGTTAATACGCGGAACTGCTGCTCACGTTTGTCAAAGTTTTCCATCAGTGCAAACAAGCCTATCGCGTCCAGGCCCGTCGCGATGGTTTCAACAAGCTTTTTCATGAATGCGTAGACTCGTTGAGATCGGATGCCCAGGGGTCAAACGCCTGACGGCCTTTGAACACTGCCCAGCACACACCGACTAATCCACCCAGCCCGCAGCAGAGGATGAAAACCAGTAACGGATTCGGCCATGTAGGTGCCTGGGGTTCTACCGGCTCCGCAATTAGTCGTGCAGTGACTCCAAACTCACCGGCATCCGCAAGCCGTTTGAGTAAACGTTGATCCAACAGTGCGCGACGTCGCTCGTCTACCAATTCCTGGGTTTGACTCAGTTCTTCAGCGACCATCCGTTCCTCTCTTCGAAGCCGCTCGGCTTGCGCCAGCGTCTCACGTTCTTCGTTGAGCACAGCTTTTAATTGTTCTTCCAGGCCCTTGGCTGCTTCCACTTCTTTGCTGATCAGAAGTGGCGTTGCCTTTTCAGTGCGTGTCAACTGGTTGCGCAGTAAGTCCACTTCGCGCTGCGCAGCCTCTACAGTCGGATGTCCCGCACGCAGTGTCTGTCGGGTCCGAGCGAGTTCTGCCTCCGCCTGTATCAGTCGGTCTTGGAGTGAGCGAGTGACGGGGTTGTCGTTCAGGGCGGAAGACATGCTCCCCGCGAGCAATTGGGTTTCAAGGGCAATACGATTCTGTCGCACGGTGCCCAGACGTTGAGTCTGATCGCGGATAATCTGTAACTGGGCGGCCACGGCATCTTCAGCGCTGCCACCATTGAAGTTGTTGCTACGCAGGGTATCGAGCTGCTGCTCAAGCGCCTGAATGTCAGCCAGCAGTGCGTCGTATTCAGCTTGTTTGGCGCTGAGTCGTTGTTCCTGGTTTTCGATTTCTTCCTGCTGCAGACGATTTCTGTAAGCGGTGACAGTTGCATCAAGCAGTTCTATACCGTAAACGGGGTCCAGCCCCAGATAACTTAAGGCAACCACTTGTGTGCCGCTGACCGCACTGGCCTGAATGGATTCCTGCGCGGCATCCAACTCGTCCTGCTCCGGATCCGGGTGTTCAAGTTGAGTCAGTTCGACTGCCCCTGCAAGTACCCGCCGGCTCTGCATCACTTCTGCCTGGGTCGCAATAAACGCTGAGCTGGTATTGACTGGCGCAACGCGGGTTTCGCTGGGGTCCTGTCGTTCCAGAACCACCTGGGCGGTTACCGTGTAAAGGGGAGCAGTCACTGAAAGGACAATAATGCTCAGCAAGACACCGGCAAGCAGACACATGGCGACAGTCCGCCAGTGCTCGCGTAACGCCATAAGCAACTCATCGATACCAAAAGAAATGCCGCCGTATTGGGCCCGGCCTGCCTGTTCTTCGGTATACAGTGACATCACCTGGCGGACGCCCGCCTGGGTTAACTCCAGGCGCACTTCCGGCAGGTTGCTGTCTTCACCCTCTGAATTGGGGTCGCTGGGTACGTTCATGTCGGCCATCTAATAGGTTTCCGTGCAACAGATTGTTAAAATTTTGTTAATTCAGTGAGTGGAATTACCGGCAGGGTGCCTAGTTTCTTAGTACTTATCTAGAATGCCTTTGTTTGCAAGGTGTGAGCACCTTGTATAACCGGGTTATTCCTTCGCCGTTTGCTTGCTAAGCTTGCCGCGGTTTGATTTCCACTGTTTTTTACGATTTTTAAGGTTTGCCACATTGAGCATGATTCATCCGATTCCAAAGTCCCTGGCGGCACCTGAGCGTGTGCTGGTGGCGAACGCGGAGTATGCCACGAGTAAGCGGGTTTTTGATCTACTGGTGTGTTTTGTAGCACTGCCGGTTCTGTTGCCGCTGGCTTGTTTAATCGCTGCAGCTGTTGCGGCATCCAGTAGGGGGCCGGTTTTCTTCCGGCAAGGGCGCACCGGTGCAGACGGGCGAAAATTTACCATGTTCAAATTCAGAACGATGGTGCAGAACGCTACCCAGCTGAGGTCTCAACTAGTCGCGGATGTGACCTCCAACGGGCCAGATTTCAAAATGCTGAATGACCCTCGCGTAACACGTGTGGGTAATTTTTTGCGCAAAACAAGTCTGGATGAATTGCCACAGCTCTGGAACGTTATTCGCGGTGACATGTCTTTGGTGGGTCCTCGTCCCACTTCATTTGGCAGTGAAACCTATGCGTTATGGCAGACCGAGCGGCTTGAAGTGAAGCCGGGCTTAACCGGTTTATGGCAGATAGAAAAACGTGGAGATCTCGACTTTGATGAGCGCGTTCGGCTCGACATCGCGTATCTGCGCAATCGCAGCCTGCGTCTGGATTTATGGATTTTATTACGTACTGTTCCGGCTGTGCTGGAACAACGTGGTGCTTACTGAGTAGTTATAAGTGAAGCAATTATTTGATAGATACGCGCTCTGGTCAGTGTGGACGATGCTGGCGGTGGTTTTTGTTGTTGCGGTTCCTCTGGGTGCCTGGGGGCTGCTTGGTGGTGTTGCTGCGGTTACTCCACTGGTGCTGCTGGTGAGGCCACGGCTGTATCGTCGTCACGCCTTACTCATCGGTCTGCTGGCCATCAGCTGTGTTGCACTTCTGAGCGGCGGTGTTGGCGGCATTCTGGCGATTCTTGCCTCGGTTGCAGTGTTGTGTGTCGGCATTGGGCTGGCTCCTGGTGTATCTGAGCGACGCAGTCTGGTAGACGGTGCACCGGTGAAGCATGTAGAAAACAAAGAGGCCTGTCTTGGCCTGCTTGCCGCTGAAGTAGGTCGTGCCAGACGCCATGAGCGACCGTTGCGTGTAGTTGCATTGGGTTACCAGGACAGCACCGAACGTACCACTAACGAACACCAGCTGTCTTTGCTCAAACAAGCAGTACAGCAGGAGGTGCACGTATACTGCCCCGTCTACCAGTTTGAAACCCATGTCGTTGTGGTCGTGCCAGAGCTAAAAGATGGTGACATGGAAGCCTTGGTTAATCGACTGCACGCAACGATTAATATGCAGGCGCTGCCGCCGGTTAACGCTGGCGTTGCAGCCTTTCCGGGTGACGCTGTCACCAGTGTTGGACTGTTAGACAAAGCGCTGGAGAACTGTTCTGGCTCTGCGCAGACCAAAGAAAACACACAAACTCTGACCGTGGTGGGTGGTACAGGTTTCAAAGCCGAGATGCCTTCGTCATGAGTAACTCCGCGGCGGCTGTGAGCGGCCGTGGGCATACCGTAGCGTACGTGATGTCACGGTTTCCTAAGTTGACCGAGACCTTTGTGCTGGATGAAATTGTGCAGCTCACGCGCAACGGTTGGGAAGTAAAAATATTTCCTCTTTGGCGTGAGCCTGCAAAACTGGTTCATGACGATGCGCTTGTCTGGGTGCAGGCGGCTCAATTTTTACCCATGCTGTCGCTAAAAATATTGACCGACAATGTTTACTGGATGCTCAATCGACCAGGGCGCTATTTTTCTGCGCTGTGGGACGTGGTGTCGCGTAACATTTCGAGCCCGCGTTTCTTGGCTGGTGCACTCGCTGCGTTTCCCAAAGCCAGTACTATGGCGCGTCGTATGCAGGCGCAGGGCGTACGTCACGTCCATGCCCATTTCGCCAGTCATCCTGCTGCAATTGTTTATGTTGTAAACAAGCTCACTGATATTCCCTGGAGTTTTACAGCGCACGGTTCCGATTTGCATCGCGAACAGGCGATGCTGGCGGAAAAAGTGTCCAGCGCGAAGTTTGCCGTTGCCATATCGCAATACAACAAGCGGGTTATTCTTGAACACTGCGCAACTGTCGATGCTGAAAAGGTAAAGGTGGTGCACTGTGGTGTGGATCTTTCCAACTTCAATCTGGTGCAGGCTGAAAAGACCGGTACCTGCCATGCCCATGGCTCATTGCGCATTGATGAGGCGGACGGTGTTATCAATATCGTCTGCATTGGCACCTTGCATGAAGTTAAAGGTCAGGCCTTTCTCATCAGAGCGTGTGCACAGCTCGAACAGACCAACTGGCAGTGCCATCTGATTGGCGATGGTGAAGATCGGGCGGCACTGGAATCTCTTGCGGCGACGTTAGGGGTAACAGATCGCATGGTTTTTCATGGTCAGTGCACTAGAGAAAAAGTCCGTGAACTGTTGAAACGAATGACCATAGCCTGCGCGCCAAGTGTGCCTACGCAAGATGGCCGGCGGGAAGGTATCCCGGTTGCGTTGATGGAGTCTGCGGCTGCTCAGCTGCCGCTGGTGGCCAGCGATTTGTCAGGCATCCCGGAACTGGTTGTGCACGAACAAACCGGATTGCTTACGGCTGTCGCCGATGTTGACTGTCTTGCCGCTGCGCTTTCCCGTCTCGCCCAGGATGTCGGCTTGCGCAATCGACTCAGTGAAGCGTGCCGCAAAAAAATCGAGCAGGAGTTTTCGCTCACCAGCAATGTCGCAATGTTACAAAAACTAATGCTCGAACCGGCGGCCTGATATGTTGTTGCCGATGTTTGTTTTACTGATGCTCATAGCCATACCCTTTACCGCCTATCCAATGCTGTTGTGGCTGCGTTCGCGCATTGCACCGCAGGTGATATTGCGCGAGCACATCACACCGTCGGTAGACCTTGTTATCTGTGCGCATAATGAAGCGGATGCTATTGAAGCGAAAATACAGAACGCTCTGGCCCTGAACTATCCTCAGGATGCGTTAACCATCTGGGTGGCCTCTGATGGATCAACTGACGCTACCGTGGCGCGGGCCAGCGCATTCATTTCTTCCCGGGTACACGTGTTGGATTTACCGCGTGGTGGTAAAGCCGCAGCGCTGAATCATATAGTCGGTCTGGGTGAGGCCGAAGTTGTTGCTTTTTCAGACGCCAACAGCATGTGGCAGGATGATGCGTTACTGGCGCTGGTATCCCCGCTGGCTGATCCGGATGTCGGCGGAACCGCGGGAGATCAACGCTATGAAAAGGCATTCGCGCAGAACAGCGGTGAGCGCGGCTACTGGAGTTTCGATCGTGTGTTGAAATCCTGGCAGAGCCGGGCAGGCAATGTCATATCCGCTACGGGTGCAATCTATTGCGTGCGGCGTGCGCTGTTTGAACCGGCACCTGCGGATGCAACGGATGACTTCATGGTTTCCACCGCAGTAATAGCTGCGGGCAAGCGCCTGGTGTTTGCAGAGGATGCGGTTGCGGTTGAGCCCGCAGCCGCAGCTTCGGGTATCGAGTTTCAACGTAAGGTGCGTGTCATTTCGCGTGGTTTGCGCAGCGTTTGGTATCGCCGGGCGTTGATGAATCCCGCTACCCATGGTCTGTATGCCTTGGAGCTGCTTGTGCATAAGCTCTGGCGCAGACTGGTTTGGATACCTCTACTGATACTTATACTGATGTCGCCTTTTGTGTTGAGTAGCGCAGCGTTGAGTAGCGGCACACTCAGTATCGACACTGTAGCTGCGCTTATCAGCCTTGGCCTGTTAGGTTTTACCTTCACTGCAGTCCTGGCTTTGTTTTGGTCGCCGGTTCGTCGCTTCAGGGCTTTTTCAATTGCAGGTTTTGTCATGATGGTTAATGTTGCCTGCGCGGTTGCGGCGTATAAATTTGTGACGGGTCAGCGCATGACTCAATGGAATCTGCCGCGCGGCTCAGAACCTGCGCCAAGTTCGGAAACCGAATCATGACCTTTGTAACCACCTTTTTATTGGGTTTGATCTATCTGAATGTACCGGCGGTTGCTGTACGTGAATTCGGCGTACCGTTCGCAGTGGGTGCCCTGATTCCGATGCTCCTGATTGTGCCTGTATTACATCGCGTCTTGATTAAAGGTGAGCCGCTCAGGTTCCCGTTGTTTCTGGTGCTGGCGATGGTGCTTCTGGTGTTGCACGCGTTGAGCGCTCTGGGTGGTATTCGCCCCCATGAGTCGCTTGCGATAGTAATTGACTGGGCGTTAGAAGGTGTTCTGCTGGCCGCATTGATTGTCAATGTGCTGCGCAGTAAAAATGATGTGATTGCGGCGGTGAAAGCATTAGTGCTGGCTGGGTTTGTCATGGGTGCGGTTGTGATCACCCAACAATTGACGGGTGCAACTGACAATAACTTCATGGGGTTCGGTCAGCTTGATTCGGCCATGGTCAGTGATTCAGGTCAACTGCAAACGCGTCTGGCGGGTCCGATTGGCGAGACTAACCGGTTTGCGCAGATCATGGCGGTGTTGATTCCGTTAGCCGCAGCGCTCGCGTTTATCAGCACCGGTGCAATGCGCTGGTTCTACTGGCTGGCAACCCTGGTAATCAGTGGGGGTATGGCTCTGGCGTTTTCCCGGGGTGCAATTGTGGCTCTGGCATTGGCGGCTCCGTTTGCTCTGGCTTTCAGGTTTATTCAGCTTCGGCACTTGCTGCTTGGTGCCTTCGGTGCACTTGTATTGCTCGCTCTGCTGCCCCATTACGCTGAACGAGTGGTCAGCATCGGGCAGGTTGCCGTGCAATCGCTGGGTTTGTCTCCTGGCGGGTTGCGTAACGCAGATGGTGCGGCGCGCGGCAGGATGACCGAGATGATGGCAGCGGGGCTGGTGTTTGTTGATCATCCTATCCTGGGTGCTGGCCCCGGCATGGCACAGGTCCACTATCCAAAATATGCCGCCAAGGTTGGCGGTAAAGTGCGGCCGGGCACACGGCGTTCGCACAATCTTTTTCTGCAGCTTGCCGCCGAAACGGGGGTTTTAGGTCTGGCCGCATTTTTTGCTGTTCTGGGCGTCGTTTTTGTTGGGCTTGAACGCGCCCGGCATCGACATTTTAATCGCGATAGAGACATGTGGGCAGTCATCTGCGGGCTGGAACTGGCGCTGATTATATCGCTGACCACCAGTTTGTTTCTGCATGCTGCTTACGTCCGTTATTTCTGGCTTCTGATGGGTTTGTGTGTGGCAGCATCGGCGGTGTCCAGTATTCCCGTGCTTGTTAGATTGCTCAGCCGTATGCTGGGTGAAACCATGGTAAGGCTCAGACCGCAGACATGACCGAAAACGCTGGTACGGGCCAGCAGGATACCCAGCGTCAGCTCCGTGGCTCCGGGCTGTTGCTGCTTGGGCGGCTTGGCTCAAAAGTTATTAATTTTGGGGTCCAGGTTGCCATTGTCCGCATCCTTACTAAGGATGATTTTGGCGCTTTTGCCTACGGGCTTGCGATTGTGGCTGCGGGTGAGCTGCTGGTTAAAATCGGCCTCGGTCAGGGCGCAAACCGGTTTATTCCTTATCATTTTGAGAGGCGCGAATATCCGGAGATGCTGGGTATTCTGGCCGCGGTCACGGCCATGATTGTGGGGTTGGGTTTGGTCGGCTGGTTGGCTTTGTTATGGCTTTCGCACGGTCAGGTCAGTGGCTTCCCATCCGCAAGCGGTGCGTTGGTGGTGCTGATCATTGCGTTTCTGGCGCCGTTGCAGGCGTTTGATTCCATCATGGTCCAGACGCTGGCCTGTTTTTCCAAAGCCAGACAGATTGTGATCCGCAAACACGTCATCGGACCGGGGTTGCGCGTTGCGGCAGTTGCGTGTGCTTTTTTTGCCGGTGGTAGTCCGGCCGTGCTCGCGGCAGCGTACCTTTTTGGTGGTGTTGTGGGCGTGGTGCTGTGTACCACGCTGGTGTTCAGACAGTTGTATGTGCATAACATTTTGCCCCTGACGCCGTCTCTGTGGCGCGTACCCTGGGCGCCGTTGTTGCGGTATTCGATTCCGCTGATCAGTAACGATGTGGTGTTCATTACCCTGACCGGCGTGACCACTGTGCTGTTGATGTCGACCGGTGGCGAAGCTGCTGTGGCGGCTATCCGTTCCGTCGCTCCTGCTGCGGCGTTAAACATGCTGGTGGCGCAGAGTTTTGTCATTCTGTTTCTACCCAGTGCTACCCGGTTGTTCGCGCGCGAAGACAAGGCAGGTCTTAGCCACCACCACTGGGAATCTGTTGCCTGGGTGGCGGTGTTGAGTTTCCCTCTGTTTGTCATGACGTTTGCGATTGCACCGGCACTGGTGCCTTTGTTGTTTGGTAGTGCATATGCTGATTCTGCAGTGATACTTGCAATCCTGGCGCTGGGGAGTTTTGCGTCGGTTCTAATGGCGTTTAACGGTGAGATCCTGCAGGTGGTTCACAAAACCAAGCCGTTGGTCTGGTCTAATCTTCTGGTCATCATCACATCTGTGCTGTTAGCGCTGTGGCTATGTCCGCCGCTAGGTGCGCTGGGTGCCGCGATTGCGGTGACCGTTGCGCGGATACTGGGCGTTGCTGCCAGACAGTTGTTTCTGGTGCGATCAGACGTCATTGGGCCGGTACCACGCACATTGAAAATGATCTGGTTGCGCCTGACGATTCTGTCGATGATTACCGGTCTGATCGGTTGGGTGTGGCAACCAAACGTATATGTTCAATTACTCACTGTTGGTATTGCCTGCTTATGGCTGTTGCGCGCCTGTGCTCGGACGCTGAACATTGCCAATACATTTCCTGAAGTGTTGCGCATCCCCTGGCTTGCGAAACTGGTCAGCGCATGACCCGTGTCTGGTGTTTCATAACCCTGGTGTTGTTGCTTCCAGCGGCTAACAGTTATGCAGAGCTGCCACAGTCAGGCATCTGGATCTCCGCAGCGGAAGTGATGCAACTTGATACTCAGGGCGAAGCCTGGCAGTCCGTGGTTGACTGGGCCAACAGACCGCTGCGCAGGCCGTCGCTGGCAGATCAGAACAATCCAGGTAACGTTCAAACCATGGCCTCGGCGTTGTATGCGGTACGCACCGGGGATGCAGAAATGCGGCGCCGTGTTGAGCAGACGCTGACAGATATTCAAGGTACTGAAAAGAACGCCACTGCGCTGGCCCTGTCCCGCGAGCTTGCGGCTTACGTCATAGCGGCCGACCTTATTCAGCTCCGAGGTGAGTCCCGGCGCCGCTTTGATCAGTGGTTAGAACATATGCGCCATGCGCAGTTCAAAGGCCGTTCAATAAGCAGCACCCATGAAGACCGGCCGAATAACTGGGGCACCCATGCAGGAGCGACACGCATCGCGCTGGCAATCTATCTGCAGGATAAAGAAGAGCTGCAGCAGGCGGCTCATGTGTTTAAAGGCTGGCTTGGTGAGCCTGATGGCTGGCGCGGGTTTGAATTTGGTGAGACCTGGTGGCAACCCTGGGGTTTTCGTAATTATGGCATCAATCCTGCGGGTGCAAGGTTGTGGGGACACTCTATCGATGGTGTGTTGCCGGACGATCAACGTCGCGGCGGGCGGTTTCACTGGCCTCCACCGAAAGAAAACTATGTTTACGAGGCACTTCAGGGTGCTGTTGCGCAAGCCGTCATGCTGGAACGCCAAGGTTTTGAGCCATGGGCTTGGGGTGATCAGGCTTTGTACCGCGCGTTTAAATGGTTACACGAACAGGCTGAGTTCCCAGCGGTGGGAGATGACATCTGGATGCCTCATGTGATTAACCAGGTTTATGGCAGCCAGTTTCCCGCACCTGTACCCAGCACGCCGGGTAAAGCAGTAGGCTTTACCGATTGGACCTATAGGCGATACGCTGCCCGCTGAAGAAACTGAGAGTGGCATAAAGATGGGCGTGACTGATACACAGGCAGAACTGGTTGCACTTCCTGCGCAGACGCAAGCTGTACCCTGGCCGGTTGGCAGGTGGCCGCAAGGTGCACTTGAATCGGTGAATCAGCCTGATACGCAGAAATACCTCGACCAGGCATTTGCTTTACGTCCAGGCGAAGGGGTCACCTACGGCCTGGTTCTGATCCAACGCGGCAAGCTGGTATATGAACGGTATGGACATGGCGCTAACGATGGCTACCTGCAGTACTCCTGGTCGATGGCAAAAAGTTTTGTGCATGCCCTGGTTGGGTTGTTGGTCCTGGACGGGAAGATTGACATCTTGCAACCTATCCCTGTACCTGAATGGCAGAATCAGGACGACCCCCGGCGGCTTATAACGTGGCACGATATGTTGCGCATGCGCGATGGGTTGGATTTTGTCGAAGACTACGTCGATGACGGCGTATCTGATGTGATTAACATGCTGTTTGCTCAGGGTCGCAGCGATGTAGGGGCTTATGCGGCGGGCCGCGCCGCAAAATATTTGCCTGGAGAGCGATTCAACTATTCCAGCGGTACAACAAATATCATCTGTCGAGAGCTGGCCAGGATTGTAGGCGATGGGCCAACCGGGATGCTGCGGTTTATGGAGCAACGGCTTTTTACTCCGCTGGGCATGCGCTCACCAACGCCGAAGTTTGACGCTGCGGGTACGTTTATAGGGAGCTCCTATCTCCTGGCGACACCACAGGATTTTGCTAAGTTCGGTCTGCTGTATCTGCGCGGCGGCGTCTGGGATGGGCAGCAGATTCTCCCGTCGGAGTGGATCGACTACGCCCGCACTTCTACGTACACAGACCCTGAGCAGGGTTACGGCGCGCATTGGTGGTTGTATCCGGAACGCCCGGGTTGGTTTTATGCCTCTGGCTACGATGGCCAGCGTATTCTTCTGGTGCCGGAAAAGGATCTTTTGGTAGTGCGGTGTGGACGCACCGATGCGGAACATGCGCCTGCAATCTGGGCAAATATAGACCGACTTGTGGATTCATTAGCTTAGCGCTAATTGTCAGTTAACCCGGTACCTTTGTTGGTATAGACTTCGCACCTCATTGGTGCTGCAGTTCTGTTTTAGTGCCAATCTGGTGCAAAAACCATCTGGGTGCGTGCAGAACAACAGGGTAAAGGAGATGTTACCTGGTTGTTGCAGGAGAGCACAGCGTCTTTCTTCCCTCGTAACGAGGGCGTAAAGAACTGGTTGCAGGGTAGTTGCTGCGCTACAACCGATTGGCATAGTGCTTGCACTCTTCGTGCTTGCAAAGTGACATTGGTCATACGCTGGTCTTCACAGAAGGCTGGTAACTCAAAAAATAAAAACTTGGGGGAAGAGATAGTGTTTGTAATCCGCAAACGTACGTTGCGTGATGCTGCGTTGGCCGTTCTATCGGTCGCCATGATCATGTCTGTCAGCCTTCGCGCTGGCGCTGAAGAAGCCGAAGAAGAATTTATGGAGGAGCTGGTTGTTACCGGTGACCTTCGCAGTCTTCCTGGTGAGAGTGTTGAATCTGTATTCGGCTTTGATAAATCTTTGCTTGAGCTGCCTCGCTCAGCGTCCACGGTGTCCTGGGAGCAGATCGAGCGCTTCAACATCAAAGAAATTGATGAACTGGTCGCGCTTGCACCGGGCACCTTTACCCAGTCATTCTTTGGTGTAGCGGGTGGTCTGGACATTCGCGGTACGCCTGGCGAAACTTATTTCCGCGGCATCCGCCGTCTGGATAACCCAGGTAACTATCCGACACCGATTGGCGCCGCAGACCGCATTGATATCGTGCGTGGCCCAGCCTCGCCGATTTTTGGCCCATCCAAAATTGGCGGTTTCATGAATTTTACGCCCAAGTCCGGGCGTGCAGCTTCAGGTCAGTATCTGACAGACAACGAAGGTGCGATATCCATGACAACTGGTAGCTGGAACAAAACAGTGCTCACCGCGGAAGTGGGTGGCCCTGGCTCCATAGCGGGCAAAGACTTCGGCTACTACGTCTACGGTGAAGTAGAAGATTCCGACAGTTACTACGACAACACAGCAACCGATCAGACCTTGTTGCAGGCATCATTCGATATGGATGTGAATGACAGGCTGCGCATCCAGGTTGGCGGTATGTACCACGATTACCAGGGTAACCAGGTAGCGGGCTGGAACCGTGTGACCCAGGATCTTATCGACAATGGCACCTACATCACCGGTACTCCGATACCTCTGGATACCAACGGTGACGGCTCCATTTCTCATCAGGAGTTTGATGCGAACAACGATGGTTTCACAGACATCAATCCTTTCCGGTTTGATTTCCTGTCCAGCCCGGAAGACCTTGGTTTGCCACCAGGCACTGATTTTGGTGGTGGCTTGATTCCAGGCAGTCCTGAAACCCTGGCTGATCTGGAAGCATTGGTAGGCGATCTGTCTTTGCTTGCGCTGCAGAACGTGGGCACTGCCAAGCTCGACGGCAGCGACGTTCTGGTTGCGCCAGACGATACTCTGGAAAGTGAAATTTACGTTTTTTACTTCGACATGATGTGGGCGTTTGATAACGGTATGGAATTGAAGAACCAGTTCTATTACGAAAGTTATGAGAATTTGAGTGAAAATGCCTACGGCTTTTCCCAGTTCCAGGAAGCCTGGGTCATCGAAGACAAGCTGGTTCTGTCCGGTAAAATTGAAACAGATGGCATAACCACTAACTGGCAGCTGTCACCTTCGATTCGTCACACCGATTTTGAACGTGGTGATGACTATACCAACGAATATTTTGACCGCCGCGATCTTACTGGACCGTCAACCGCGTTAGATCGTCGGTTGCTGTCGACACGCATTGATGATGATTACACCGAGTACTATATTGGCGATTATACCAATCTGGCTTTTGCAGCCATGGTTGACGTCACTTTCGATATGGGTCTCAACATCATCGCAGGTGCGCGTTATGATGTGCTTGATCTTGAGTCCAAGCAGCCATTTGAAAAGCTCCTGTTCGCCAGCTCAAACAACTTCTGTTTCCCAGCAACAGCTGCTGACTATGACGCAGATTGCGGCAACGCGCTGCAGGCAGACGATGAGGTGGAAGGTGTATCCTGGACCTTCAGTGTCAGCTATGACACACCGATCGGTCTTCGTCCGTACATCACGTTCTCTGAGCAATCTACGTTGATTGCGGGACAAGGCGCAGACCTGGGTACAAACAGTATTCGTGACGGTGGCGCGTTTGATACCTCTGAGCTGATGGAGTTTGGTCTTAAAGGCAGCCTGCTCGATGATAAGCTGTACTTCGCCCTGGCTTATTACGAGCAGGAGCGTACAGACTTTTCCGCCCAGTCTATTGTGACTAACCAGAGTACTGAAACGGAAGGTATTGAATTTGAATTGCGCTGGTCCGTCACCGACAAACTGTTAATGACAGCAGGCTGGTCAAACACAGAAGTTGTGAACATTAATACCCTCGATACGGGTTATCGTTTCAGCTTCATCGGTGCTGACGATCTGCCTAACGTACCAGCAGAAGCACTCTACGGCGGTACCTTGGGCGGCAACATTTACCGCCCCGGACGCAGTGGTGCGGTGCGTGCCGGTATGCCTGAGAATGTTTATTCCGTCACTGGTACCTACGATTTCACCGAACGCTTTGCCGGCCATTTCAGCGTAATCTATGCTGAAGAAACCAATTCAGGTTTCTCTGGCCAGGTAGAACTGCCTGACTACACATTGGTTAATATGGGTATGTTGTTCCACGGCGACCAGTGGATGCTGGGTGTGAATATCAAGAACGTTACCGACGAAGAGTATTTCCGCTCTAATTTCCCCAACCTGTTTGGCGGAACCATTGTTTTGCCGGAACTGCCACGTCACTATTCCGCGACGTTACAGTACAGCTTCTAAACGCGTAGTCAGCGTCTGAGGAAGCCCTCTGGAAAGCCTGATGCTCTGTTAAAGACATCAGGCTTTTTCTTTTGTGCCATGGCAGGGTTAAACTCGGGGTTTGCCTGACTACGGATAATGTCTTGGGTAGCGAAGTTAAACAGAGGTTTTTTGAAGCTGAAGATTTCAGCAATTTTCGAACTCGACTGGATGAAGAGACTGCGCTGCTGAAAGCGGTATTTGATCAGCAGGCTTTTTCGAGACGAGGTGATGTTGCTGGTTTTGAGCTTGAAGCCTGGTTGATTGATAAGCAGGGTAAACCGCTGGCGGAAAATGAGCAGTTTCTTGAGAAGCTCGCAAGTCCGCTGGTCGTACCCGAACTGGCCAAATTTAATATAGAACTCAACGGCAGCCCCTGCGCGCTGACCGGCAAGGTGTTTTCGCGATTGCATGATGAGCTGTGTGCCACCTGGCAACATTGTCTGGAAACAGCCGAACAGATGGGCTGCAATCTACTGACCATTGGCACCTGTCCCACCGCTCAACCCGAACTGTTTGTTGATGACAATATGTCGGGCATGTTGCGCTATAAATCTCTGAACGATCGAGTCATGGCCCTGCGAGATGGCCAGCAGCTGCTGATTGATATCGATGGTGATGATGCGCTGGCACTGCGTCATCACGATGTGATGCTGGAGGCTGCGGCGACCTCTTTCCAGATTCACCTGCAGTGTCGTCCGGAATATGCGGTTCGCGACTTTAACGCCAGCCTGATTGCTTCTGCACCGCTGGTCGCGGCAGGCGCAAACTCCCCGTTTTTATTTGGTAAAACCCTCTGGGATGAATCACGCATACCGCTGTTCGAACAAAGTGTGGATGTTGGACCGCGCAACAAACCGAGGGTGACCTTTGGCTCGGATTACGTACATGAATCATTGTTTGAAATATTTGAAGAGAATCGCACAGAACATCTGATTCTACTGCCTATGGTGCAGGATGACCCACCCAGCAAATTCAGTCATCTGCGTTTTCAGAACGGTACTATGTGGCGCTGGGTGCGGCCGCTGTTGGGGTTCGATTTTGATGGGCAGGTGCATCTGCGTATTGAGCAGCGTGTACCGAGTGCCGGCCCAACTCTGAAAGACTGCGTTGCCAACGCCGCTTTCTATTACGGTATGGTGCGTGGATTCAGTTTGCAGGAAACACCGCCTGAACAAAGCCTTAATTTTCATGACGCTCGCGAGAATTTCTATACCGCCGCGCGTTATGGTTTGAATGCCCAGGTCGTCCAGCATTCGGAACGGCCACGCCGCGAAATAAATATGTCAGCCTGGATTCTTGAAGACCTGATGCCGCTGGCGCGTTTGGGGCTGGCGGATCTTGATATCCCCGGAGATGAAATAGATGAGTATCTGGGCATAGTTGCGGCGCGGGTGGAAAATGGTCAGAACGGTGCTGCCTGGCAGCGACGCTGGAAAACTTTGAATCAGGGCTCGTTGCAGGATATGGTGCGGGTCTACCAGGAACTGCAGGACACTAACCAGCCCGTGCATACCTGGCCAGTTTAGCGGTCGGTCGGATTCAGTAAATATGTTGCAGTTCTTTGAACGTCCACCGGCGACGCTGTTTACAACGCCAGCGCACGAGTTAGAAAAGCTGTTAGGTGGTCCTGCGCTGATACATATAGCAGGACGACAAACGCCGCCGCTGTTTCTGTCGGTGTTATTGCATGGAAATGAAACCAGCGGGTGGCAGGCGTTATGTGAAGTTATGGCGAAGCTTGCATCCGCTGATGCGGAACCTGAGCGAAGCCTGATTCTTTTTGTGGGTAACGTGGCCGCGGCGGCACAAGGTGTGCGCAGCCTGCAGGGCCAGATGGATTTTAATCGCATCTGGCGCGGAGAACATGGTATGACCGTGCTGGCGTCGCAGGTGCTCGACAGGCTGGCGCAAATCGAATTGTTCGCCGCGCTGGATATTCACAACAATACCGGCCGTAATCCTCATTATACGGTGCTGACGCAGATAAATAGCGCCACCGTTGGTCTGGCGCTCCTGTTTTCCGAGAAGGCTGTACTGGTAGAAGAGCCGGATACTGTACTGACCCGTGCGGTTCAACAGTTCTGCCCCTCAACGACGGTAGAAGTTGGACCTGTGGGAGACCCGCAGAGTGCCGCGCGTACAGTGTCTCTGCTGGAACACTACCTGACGCTTGGTCAGGTTCCGCAGGCGGATGTTGCCGAGCTGCAGATGCACCATGCGTTGGCCAGAGTTCATATCATGCCCGGGGTATCTTATGAATTCGCAGATCAGGTCACTGAATCAGAATATTCCAAGTATGACCTGATTCTGACCGCCGGTATGGAGTCAGTAAACTTTCACCCTGTGGCGGCGGGTATGGAGTTTGGTTTTACCCATAAACCGCTGGCGCAGACGTTGCAGGTATTAGATACGCTCCATCGGGATGTTACACCCCAATTTTTAACTGACAAGAACGGCCACGTTACTCTGGCGCGCCCCCTGGTGCCTGCCATGTACACAACAGATAAAGCTGTCATTGCCCAGGATTGCCTATGTTATTTTATGGAGCGGATATAGAGATGCGTCACGTCATCCTGATCACTGTAGTGATGACTTTGTTGTCAGGATGTGCAACTACGGGACCCGACAATATGAATAATGATCTTACGCCCTGTCCCGCTTCGCCGAACTGTGTTTCCAGTGATGCTGAGGGAATGGTGCATGGCATCCTCCCTCTGCAGCTTACTGTAGATGCGGGTACTGCCTGGTCTGCCCTGGTGAAGTTGTTAGAGGAAGATCAGTCAATTACTGTGATTACAAATCAAACAAACGATTATCTTCGTGCCGAAGCGCGCACTGCTGTTTTTGGTTTTGTTGATGACGTGGAGTTTAAGGCGCGGCCGGATGACAACGAAATAGCCATGCGATCGGCGTCGCGGATCGGATTTTCTGATCTGGGAAAGAATCGCAGGCGTCTGGAAAGTCTCAGGTCTGCGTTGGCTGACCAGGAGATTGTGCAGGGGCGCTGAGAGAAACATCTGCTTTGGCAAAGTGGCGGTCACAGATACTTAAAAATCGCTGCGCACCAGTCGATAGCGGTTCGTGTTTTTTAAAAAAGATGCCAACCTCCCGTGGAATATTCGAAACCGCCAAGTCCGGCAGGGCAACCATGCCTTCAGTATCTGCCAGGACGCGATCAGACAGATAAGTCACACCTTTGCCGTCTGCGGCTAACGCCAGGCGCAGGTCTAAATTACTGATCTCCCAGACGCCGGCAAATGCGTCGCTCAAGCGTGCGGCACCATCTCGGCGGGTAGCCTCATCAAGATATGAAGTGAGCAGGATGGTGTTGGCCAGTTCGTTGGCAGGTGTGTCCATCAGCGCGCTGAAACGGGGGTGATTCCTGTGCACACACAGCACGCGCTGCTCAGAAAAATAAACGCGGATATCAAAATGTCTGGGCATGGCGGACTGCAGCGGGCCAAATCCAAGCTCCCACCGATCTTCGTCCACGCCGTAGATGATCTCTTTGCTGGGTACAACATCGAGCTTCAATCGAGTCAGCGGATTCCTGCTGCAGAATTCCAGCATCAGTCCGTGGGCAAAATAGCGGTTCACCATGGAGTTGGTTGCCAGGCTGAGCGTGGAGAGCGCGCCGGTTTTGATCAGGCTGATATCTTCCAGGGCCTGATGTTCTTCGTGCAACATCATGCGGGTGTAGCTGTACATGCGTCGCCCGGCCTCAGTCAGTTCAGGCTGGCGTCCGCGCACAACTAAGGTGGTGCCGAGTTTGTGTTCCAGGTTGGCCATGGTCTGACTGACGGCAGACTGGGACAGGTTCAGCCGTTCAGCGGCCCGGCTGAAGCCGCCTGTTTCGATGATGGCATCAAATACCCGAACCTCATGACGTTCAATCTGCATAGGCTTCAACCCGTGTTGTAGTGATCCAGCTTACGCTGCTTTTCGCTGACAAACTATAAGATGAAGTGATAATAGTATTAATAATAGTTATAAAATGGAGACTATATAAGTAAAACTGATAGTGCTAGAAGCGAATACCCATGGTGCTGCCGCCTGTTCCACCTTAGTTTGGGGGCTCTTATCAGTTGGAGAAGGCGGATGACGAAGGTAGCAAAAGGTCTGGCGGGTGTTGTGGTGGACACGACAGAGATTTCCAACGTACAGGCGCAAGGCGCTCTGAGTTATCGCGGTCATGCCATAGAAACCCTGGTAGATCGCCCGTTCTTTCAGGTTGCCAATCTGGTTGTGAGCGGTGAAATGGACGACTCCTTACATCAGCTGTTACAACCATCGATGAACCTGACGTCCGCAGAGACTGACTTTGTATTGCAGGTGCCTGCGCAGATGCACCCTATGAAGCTCCTGCAGGGCATTGTGCCGCTGTTATCCGGCAGCAACGATCTGGGCTTCGGAGAGGCCGACCAGGGCCTGCATGTGGCGGCAAAGTTACCCGCAGTGGTGGCAACCCATCTGCGCCGTAAGGCGATTGAAGTGGACCCTGCTGTGGGTTATGCGGAAGCTTTTCTGCGTGCCATTGGTAATACCGCCAGCACCGAGCACGTTGAAGCGTTCAACACCGCTCAGATACTGCAACTCGACCACGGATTTAATGCAGGCACCTTTGCGGCGCGGGTGGTGGCCTCTACTGAAGCGTCGGTGGAATCGAGCATTGCAGCGGGTATCGGTGCCTTGTCCGGACCCTTGCATGGTGGTGCGGATCAGGCCGTTTTAGAAATAGCTGACACGTTAGCGTCGGTCGCTGCTGCGCGTGACTATGTGGCCAAAGCATTGGCCGCAGGTGAAAAAGTGCCTGGTATGGGCCATCGCGAATATCGCGCAGTGGACCCACGCGCGGTATGTCTGCAAGCCTGGGTAGAGAAGCTTGCAATCGGCAGCGAACATGAGCCGGTGTATCACGTACTGCGGGAGATCGATACGCAATTTGCAGCAGCCATGGCCGAACGGGGTAAAGCCCTGCATGCTAATGTTGAGTTTTACAAGGGCCTGGTTTTACGCGTTGTTGGTCTGCCGAATCATTTCTTTACTGCCGCTTTTGCGATGGCGCGCTCGTTTGGCTATGTCGCCCACTTCATTGAAAGTCGTAAAGATAACCGGATCTTCCGGCCGCAGGCTGAGTATATAGGCCGTTAATCCATAGCAACAGGTGCCTGCTCGGGTCAGATTTCCTATATATTGGGCGCCTCTAGCAGCTTAGGAAATCAGGCAATTTGATCACCGCGGATACTCAACAATGGCTGCGCGATAATGCGCTCAACGTGCTGGATTCCGTTGTCGATGCCATCATTACGATTGACGCGGATGGCATCATTCAGTCGGTCAACGCAGCAACGTTGACCCTGTTTGGTTATACCAGTACACAATTGGTGGGTCAGCCTGTCACAAAGCTGATGCCGGAGCCGCATAAAGCTCTGCATCAAAGTTACATAGAACATTTTTTGAGTACGCGCAAAGCGCAAATCATTGGCATCGGACGCGAACTCACCGCGGTGACTCATGACGGTGAGATTTTCCCCATCTACCTTGCGGTCAATGAAATTAAAACAGACCAGGGTTCCTACTTCGCGGGCATCATCCGCGATTTAACCGAGCAGAAAGCCAATCAGCAGGCATTGCTTGAGCAGCGTGAACGTTTAGCGCGTGTGGGTCGATTGAGCACAATGGGCGAAATGACAGCCAGTATCGCCCATGAAATCAACCAGCCGCTGACGGCCATTGCCGCTTATGCACAAGCGTGTATGAAGCTGTTAGAAAAAGATGAGCCCGACCTTTCCAGGGTGTCTGACGGACTGCGCAAACTGAATACCCAGTCTTTACGTGCTGGTGCCGTTATTGAACGGATTCAGCGTTTTGTGCGCAATGAGGGCAGCCAGAAAGAGCTGGTTGACCTCAATGAGTTGATGCGTGACCTGCTGCATCTGGCCGCTGCAGATGCGCGTTTGCATAGTGTTGAGCTCAACTTTGACCTGCAACCGGATCTGCCGGCGTTATACTGTGATCCCGTACAGATTCAACAGGTAGCGCTCAACCTTATACGCAACGGCATTGATGCCATGCTTGAAGTAGACTGCGTGCACGGACGCGATGTGCTGGTTTCAACACGGATGGTAGGCACACAGGCTGAAGTCGCGGTGAAAGACCTCGGTACTGGTGTCAGTGAGGAAAATAAACCCATGCTGTTCAGTCCCTTCCATACCACCAAGGCTGAAGGTATGGGTATGGGTCTGTCGATTTGTCGTTCCATCATGCTCGAGCATGGTGGTGATTTAAGTTTTGTTAATAACGAAGAAGGTCACGGGTCTACGTTTTATTTCCGTTTACCCGCCGGAGAAGAGAATGAGTGACACTGAAAAAGTATTTATTGTTGACGACGACGAAGCCGTGCGTGACGCCATTGGCATGTTGCTTGAAACTGTAGATATTCCATACATCACCTATCCTGACGCGCTGACGTTTCTTGAGCAGGCGAACCTGAATAATGTGAATTGCCTGGTGCTGGATATCCGCATGCCGGGTATGAGTGGTCTGGAGTTACAGGAAAAGCTTGCAGCTATGAACATTGAACTGCCGATTGTCTTCATCACCGGGCATGGTGATATTCCGATGGCGGTGGAAGCCATGCGTCGTGGCGCGGTGGATTTTTTACGTAAGCCGTTCCGTGATCAGGAGCTGCTTGATCGCATACAGGAAGCTTTATCCCGAGATGCACAACACCGCGACCAGGCAGCAGATTCTGTGCAGCTGAAAGAGCGCATTGCTGATCTGACGCCGCGTGAGCTGGAGGTCTTCCAGCGTGTTGCGAAAGGTCAGGCAAATAAGGTAATAGCTATTGAGCTGGGTATCAGTGAACGCACCGTTGAGATTCATCGCAGCAATGTGATGCAGAAAACCAGTTCACGTTCGCTGGCGGATCTGGTCCGTTTGCTGATCAAACTGGAAGAGCTGGAGCCTGCGGGCTAATAATTTTTGGGGGAATAGATGGCTGTTATCGCTGTATTAGGATTGGGGAATTTTGGCACCGCTCTGGCGCGTAACTGGTTGCAGGCAAATAACGAGGTGCGTGGCTGGACCGTCGAGCAGGAAGTCTTCGACAGTATCAATGCCAATGAAATAAATGAAAAGTACCTGGCGGATGTGCCGCTGACAGGCTTATCTGTTTCTATGGATATAGCCACGTCTATGCAGGGTGCTGAGATAGTTGTGCTGGCGCTGCCCAGTCATGTTGTATTGAAAGTGGTTGACGATGTATTGCCGCACCTTCGCCCCGGACAGATATTGTTGGATCTGGCTAAAGGGCTTGCGCCAGGTGATCAGCTTATTTCAAATGTGATCGAGGAGAAACTCAAAGCGCAAAATCTTGATAATCAGCTCTGCGTGATGATGGGGCCAACCATAGCGCCAGAATTGGCTCGCGGTGTCTATACCACAGCACTGGTGGCATGTAACGATGTTGCTCTGGCGACGTCGATGGCAAAAATTCTCAGCACCCAGAGCTTAAGTCTGGCGGCGGCAGATGATCCTTTAGGCGCCGAATACTGGGGTGCTTTTAAGAATGTTATTGCACTCGCGTGTGGGGTTGTTGATGGTTTAAAAGAAGATGGGCGCGGTGGTGACAACCTGAAAGCTGCCGTATTTACCGCCGGCTATCGCGAAGCTTCGCTGTTGTTGCCAGAGATGGGCGCCTCCCCTGCCACTGCTTTAAGCGCCGCGGGCATTGGAGATCTGTTTGTGACTGCAACTTCCCCATTTGGCAGAAATCGCGAGATGGGCGAGCGATTGGGGCGTGGTCAGAGTCTGGCTGAGGCAGAGGCTGATATGGTGATGGTCAGTGAAGGCGTGCGTGCGGCGCGTATGTTTAAGGAACTGTTTGCATCAGCAGGTCTCTCAGCCCCGTTTGTAGATACGGTTTGCGCTCTGCTGGATAACGATGTAGATATCGATGGGTTCCTTGAGCGGGTGATGGCGCCCAGCTAACATTTGAGTCTAGTTCTGCTGTGCCGATGCGTTGAGCAGGCTGCTCAATGTCTGTTTCTGGATGCCGGTGGCGTTGAAGTTGGCGGGGTTTAACCATTGCAGATAAGCACGCTTAAGTTGCGGCCACTGGCTGTCGAGCATGGCAAACCAGGCGGTGTCTCGATTTCTGTTTTTATATACCAGCGCTTGGGCAAAGGTACCTTCATACGTAAAGCCCAGCCTTGTTGCAGCTCTCCGCGATGCCTCATTTAGAGCGTCACATTTCCATTCATAGCGACGGTAGCCCAGTTCGTCAAAAACTCTGCTCATCATGAGGAACATGGCTTCCGTTGCCATAACGGTTTGCTGGAGTGCCGGTGCAAAGGTGATGTTGCCAACTTCGATGACCCCAACAGCTGGTTTTATCCGCAGAAACGCACACAACCCCAGCGCTTGTTCAGTTGTATTGTCGACAATGGCATGGAAGAGCGAGTCCTGATTACCGGCAGCTGTCTCTATCCACGCCATGAACTGGTCCTCTGAGCGGAATGGACCGGATGCCATATAGGTCCACAATTTACCTTCTATGTCTGCGCTGAATGCGTGGAACAGATCTGCGCCATGTAATGCCGGGATTAGCGGCTCTACGCGGCAGTGATGACCGATCATTTTGGTTTCAGGCGGCATCAATGCACCCTGCCAGTCTGGCAGGGCAGAACCGATGGGTTGACCAAATTCGTTTATCTGCGACGTCATGTCTGCTTCAGGTTATCGTAGTGCGGCCTGGAAGGATATCCGCTGAGTCTTGCTCGACGCTCAATCCTCTAGATCTGCGGCGTTCGGCGAAAGCTCACCGTACTGACCACCAGTTGGAAAATCCATCTTGAATGCCTGATGACAACCTTCACAGGTTTCAACAATCCGATCTCCGGCGGTGCTGATGGCCTCAATATTTCGAGCCTTTATTGCGGCAAGTGCCTCTGCGCTGGCATCGCTCAGTTGAGTTGCCCATGCTCGCCAGGGTGGCTTGGCAGTCCACTTGTGGTCTAACCCGCCGGTACCAGGATAAGCGATCAGCGTGCCGCCAAGTTGCAGCTGAGTTGCCCGGTGTTCAAGCAAGCGCCATTCGGCGTCTGTTTCTGGTGTGTGCCATGCCGCAACCCAGATCGGATCGGCAGCATCATTGATCAACGCGACCATGACCTCATTGATACTGACAGGTAATTCATAAGATTCAGCCGCCCACGCCGACGGTGCAAGCGTAAGAACGCTGAGAAAGATGAACATGCGCATGACTGAATCCTGGTGTCCGGGAACCATTAGCCTTGTGGATTTGCAGTGTTCAGACAATACGTGGAATTACCGAGGTGGCCGGGCAACCTGTTTCAGCCGGAGGGTTGTTGACGTCGGATGCCCGCCGTGAGCACAAACCGCATAGCCTGTTCAACAGGAATATCCAGAATCTCGACCTCAGCTTTGCGTACCAGCAGCGTATAGCCACCAATCTGATAGCTCATGGGCACGTAAACAGCCACACGATCCCGCCCAACGTCGGCAAACGCCTCCAGGCTTTCGTCTGTAATAAAACCCACCAGCTGTGCGCCATTACCCAGGTCGATACAGGCAACTTTCGATGCGCTTTCTGACACATTGGAAGAGAAAAACCCAAAAAAATCATTAACAGATTGGTACACGGTCTTCACCAGAGGCACGCGTTCAAGCCACGCTTCGAACCACTCCCACAGTTTCTTGAACACAAACATCTGCATCAGCAGGCCGGTGACAAAAATCAGCCCCAGGGCAAACAGAATACCCAGGCCCGGGAAATAAAAATTGTCCGGCAGGATATAGACAAACAGTTTGCGCAGGAGCCCCTCGGTTGTGGTGATCACCCAGACGGTTAGCCACAGTGTCAGGGCGATGGGTAACACACCTGTTAAACCGCGGAAGAAAGTACCAGCTATGCTTTTCATCATTGTTCTATCTCCTTATCCTGATTTATACCACAGTCGCTGCTGTGCAACGTTTCGCGGGCACCTAACTTTCCGCTGTAAAGATTCGCTGTCCGCTGGTATCCCGGTTAGTATCTGCCGGAATGTATGGATTGAAGCCAGCCCGTTGACTGCTAAAACCGCCTATCATCATGGAGACCTGCGCAACGCACTGCTTGATGCTGCTGACAAAGTTCTGCAAACACAGGGTTTGCAGGGTTTCACATTGCGCGCTTGCGCTCGCGCGGCAGGTGTCTCGCACACCGCACCTAAACATCATTTTGGTGACGTGCGCGGGCTGTTGCGCGCGTTGGCAGAGCGTGGCTTTCAGCGTTTAGTTGAGCGCTTGCGTATGGAACTATCTCTGGCCGGTGCGCAGCTGGAAACGCAGATGTTTGCCACTGCCAAAGCTTATGTTGAATTTGCTCAGACCTATCCGGAACATTTCCGCATTATGTTCCGCTCTGATCTGATCGGCTTTGATATGGATAATCCACCTGATGCAGTGCTGCAGACTTTTGCTGAACTGACCAACGTGATTCTTCGTCAGCGAGGGGATGCACCCATCGCTGTGCAGGACGTTATTGCTGAAAAACCGCCGGCGCTGGTGAACGATATTGTTTTAGGATGGTGCCATGTACACGGGTATGCTCACCTTGCGTTGGAAGGCCAACTCACCATGGTTCCAGAAGATGATCAGCTTGCTCAACTCAAGTTATCTACGCAGCGCCTTTCGCAGTTAATACAGGAATTGTAGTCCCTGTAGGGTCGGGTACCGCGCTCTGCGCGGGGCGCACCTGAACGGCAGATGTTTCGTTTACCCGTGGCTGATGCATGAGTACACTCAGGCATGAAAAGGGGGGCTGAATGTGGCTGATGTAGCAGAACGAATTCCCGTGGTACTCGATACCGATATCGGATTAGACGTCGATGATGTGTGGGCGCTGGCATTCCTGTTGAACTGCCCTGAACTTGATATCAAGCTGATTACGACAGCTACCGGCGATACAGGTTATCGCGCAAAGATAGTCGCCAAACTATTGCAGATCGCCGGACGTGAAGATATTCCCATTGGTGTTGGCATCCCTCTGGATGACTCACCTAAGACCCATGCCGCCTGGTTAGGCGACTTTTCCCTGTCAGATTACGCAGGCGATGTATTACGTGATGGCGTCGGCGCCATGTGTGAAACCATCATGGGCACCCCTGAAATAGTTTCATTGATCTGTATTGGACCGTTACCCAATGTAGCCGCCGCACTTGCTCGTGAACCTGATCTGGCAACAAGCGCCCGATTTATCGGTATGCACGGTTCGCTTCGTCGTGGCTACATGGGGGCTGACAAACCCATGCGAGAGTACAACGTTAAACAGCACGCGCTGGCCTGTCAGGCGGTGTTCAAGGCGAAGTGGGAAAAAATCATCACGCCCCTGGATACCTGTGGCACGGTAATCCTGCAGGGTGACCGCTTTGCGCGCATCAGAGACAGCGATAAGCCGCTGACAAAAGCGGTGATGGACAACCACGCCGGCTGGTTTGAAGCGGTGAAAGAATGGCCGGTGCTAAAGGAACTCGACATTCAGGCGCAGTCTTCGGTTTTATATGACTGTGTGGCCGTTTATCTGGCCTTCAGTCGTGCATATCTGCATATGGAAACGTTGCCGATAGTCATCACCAATGACGGTAAAACACTGATCGATGAGGCAGGTGAGGAAACACAGTGTGCCACTGACTGGGTCGATAAAGACGCCTTCCTGGATCTGCTGACTGAACGTCTTCTGTAGCGGCATTGCGTTTTGGCTTCACTGCGAATCTTTTCTTATCTGCCCAACCCGCGTGTGTTTAAAGCGCTGATTGCGGCAGAGCTTTGTGGTGTTTCGCTAGAAGTGGTGGGTGACAAACCGGTCAATCTTGGGCGATGGCTCTGGGACTATGATGCACGTGAACTGTCTGCGGCTGAACAGTCAGCAGATAGTCCCTATGCTCGCGCCAGCCAGCGCGGCTTTACCGGAACGTTGTATAAGACAGATGCTTTCCTTGCCAGCCAGCCTTTCGGCACGGTGCCGTGCGCCTTCAGTCCAGGTGGTGCGATCGGGATTTTTGAATCCAACAGTATTTTGCGCGCCGTTGTGCGTCAGTCCGAACAGCCACACGGCCTCTACGGGGTCGATGGTTACAGTGCTTCCCGTGTGGACAGTTTTCTCGATGCCAGTCTGGTGTTTTCCCGGGAAGCGCAGGTTTATCTGCTGGCAATGTCGGCTATGCAGCCCGAAACCCATGCGCGGATGACCTCAGCGTACGATTTTTATCTGCAGGGTGTTGAGAATGCGCTGCAACACACGTCTCACCTGGCCGAGGATAATCTTTCGATAGCCGACATCGCCTTCGTATGCGACCTCGCGCAGTTTTTGCGTGAAGCACACTACAGCGACGCACTTGAGCAGGCCGGGTTTGCGTTGATAAGTGCACAGGCATTACAGAAGTACCCAGCTGCGCTGGCGCACATGCTGACCTTGAGTGAAGCGCCGGCTTTTCGCAAACACATGGGTACGTACCTCGACTGGTACAGACGTCAACACAATATGTAATGAACATCTTCTCTATCTGACAGAGATCCCAAGATACCATCAGGAGCAAACAAGTGACCGATAACAGCGAACAGATCAAATACTGGAATGGCCAGGCTGGCGATACCTGGGCTCGTGGGCAGGAACGGTTGGACAACATGCTGCAGCCCTTGTCTGATATTGCCGTGTCTGCGGCGGCAGCTAAAGCGGGTGAACGTGTTATCGATGTAGGGTGCGGATGCGGTGCAACCAGTCTTGCTCTGGCTGCCACGGGCGCGCAGGTTTGGGGTGTCGACATCAGCGCGCCAATGTTGGCCCGTGCCCGTGAGCGTGCAAAAGGCGTGGACAATCTTGTTTTCAGTGAAGCCGATGCGGCAGTAGCAGAGCTGACTCCGGACCATCAACTGATGTTTTCCCGCTTTGGGGTGATGTTTTTTGCCGACCCGCTGGCTGCGTTCAAAAACCTGCACAGCGGATTGTCTGCAGATGGACGGATGGTGTTCATGTGCTGGCAGGCTGCTCAGGTCAACCCGTGGATTACCATTGCCGGACGCGCGATACAGCCTTTCCTGACGCCAGCGGAACCCGTGGATCCAAAAGCCCCGGGACCATTTGCTTTTGCGGACAAAGACTATTTGCAGGGTTTGCTGGTTGATGCAGGGTTTGCGCAGATTGAGATAGAGCCTGTCTCTGCCAGTCTTCATGTAGGTGATGATCTGGAGGCTGCCATGCATTCTCAGGGCGAAGTTGGGCCCGTTGCCCGTGCTCTGTCCGAATTATCGGGAGATACGAAGGAGGCAGCGCTGCAGGCGGTACGGGATGCTTTTGCGCCTCTCATCACCGAATCCGGATTAGATCTTGAAGGGGCTACCTGGCTGGTCAGCGCCCGCAGCAGATAGTTTTTAGACCCGTCATCCACCAGAAGGAAATGAACATGGATACCAACCAGCAGGTTCTGATTGCTGAAATACCACAAGGCAAGTTGCAGCCGAGTCATTACCAGCTTGCCCAGGCGCCCATACCCAAAGCAGGCGAAGGCCAGGTATTGGTACGCACGACGGCGTTTGCGATTACTGCTGGCACTCGCGCAGGGTTACAAGGCAGTGCCAGCTATGCCGGTGCGCCGACCACGGGTGTTGTGATGAATGCAACCGGGGTAGGAGAAGTGGTCGACAGCCGCGCGTCAGACATCGCGGTGGGCACCATGGTCAGTGCGCCCACGGGTTGGCAGCAATACTCAGTGCATGACGCCCATGCGGTTGAAGTTATACCCGCAGCCCATGACCCCATCGCCTATTTAGGTCCGTTAGGTATCAATGGCCTGACCGCATATTTTGGACTGCTTGAAGTTGGCCAGCCGAAGCCAGGTGAAACCGTCCTTGTCTCTGCAGCGGCCGGATCTGTAGGGCACCTCGTCGGACAGATCGCCAAAATCAAGCAGACCACAGTTGTGGGTGTCTGTGGCAGTGAAGAAAAAGGCGCTGTTCTGGTAGATCAGCTTGGCTTTGATGCATCGGTAAACTACAAAGAACAGAATTTTCGTGATGCCCTGAAGGCGGCGACCCCAGCTGGGGTTGATGTCTATTTTGATAACACGGGTGGGTTGATCCTTGGCTCGGCCCTGTTCCGTATGAATACTTTTGGTCGTATAGCCTGCTGTGGCGTGGTGTCGCAATACGATACCGACCGGCCGGAGCCAGGCCCGCGAGGCATCCCTGGATTGCTGGTGAACAAGCGTATAAACATGCGCGGTTTTCTGGTGTTCGATTTTGCAGATCAATATGCCACCGCTCGAGGGGTCCTGCATGGATGGCTTGCAGATGGTTCGCTGAAAAGCCTGACCGATGAGGTTTCCGGTCTGGCGGCTGCGCCTGATGCGTTTGTTGACTTGTTAAGCGGTGGCAATATCGGTACACGTATTGTGCGTTTAACTTAGCCAGATTTTGCACGCCAATAGCAATCTGAAAAGCAGCTGATTATGGCTACCGGCATACATAGCATTGATGTTGTGGTGATTGTCGTGGTGATGCTTCTGGTCACCTATATGGGACATCGCCTGAGTGGCTCAATTGCCTCCAGGCGGGCGTTCTTCCAGGCGGATGGTTCGCTACCCTGGTGGGCCGTATCGGCGAGCATCCTGGCGACACTGGTGAGTGCGGTAACCTTTATCTCTGTACCGGCGGCGGTGTTTGCCCCCGGTGGTGATCTAACTTATTTCCAGGTCATTGTGGGTCTGGCACTCGGTAAAATCGCTGTAGGCATGCTGCTGGCTAAGCCGTTCTATGAAGCCAGACAAGCCAACAGCAGCTACGAATACATTGGTCAGCGAATTGATCCTGCGACAGGAGAGCTGTCGATGTGCCTGGGTTTACTCCTGACCATTATTAATTCCGGCGTCAAGCTCCTCACGGCCAGCCTGGTACTCGATGTGATCACAGGTTGGGGTTTGCCAGGCTGCGCTGGTTTTGTTGTCGTCGTGAGCATTATCTGGAGTGCGTTAGCAGGTATCAAGACAGTCATCTGGACAGACTTCCTGCTGTTTGTGTTGTTCAGCCTGGGCGCTGTATTTGCGCTGGTGTTTGTGGCGTTCAACATTGAGATGTCGCTGTCTGAAGCGTTGCTGAGTCTTGATGCGCAGGCAAAGCTGGTACTGTTTGATTTCTCAACTGATCCAGAACGCCGCTATACGATCTGGGCAGGTGTGATTGGCGGCATTGCGCTGAATATTGCCCAGGGCAGTACTCAGGGCACCTGGCAGCGGGTGCGTGCCTGCCGTAGCGTAGGTGAAGCGCAGAAGGCATACAATTTTGCGGCGCTGTTTTACGTTATGCATCTGGTTATTCTGGCGCTGGGTCTGGCGCTGGTGGTTTTCTACGGTGAGCGCGGCTTACCCGATGAGCTGGCACAGCAGCTGGCTACCTCACCCGACCGGATATTCCCCTACTTTATATTGTCAGAAATACCTGTTGGGCTGTCGGGCCTGTTTATTGCTGCAATATTTGCGGCTGCTATTTCTACGCTTGATTCAGCGCTTGCGGAAACATCGGACCTGAGCATCACACACTTTTACGCAAAGTATTTTCGCCCCACAGCAAGCGAAGCCCACTACGTGGCTGCTTCGCGTGTACTGATGTTGTTCTGGGGTGCGGTCTTCATGGCGGTATCACTGTTTTTTGCCCGTTACTCCGGCGAGGGTCTGCTGGATCTGACATTCAAACTGCCAAATTATGTCTACGGCGCCATCTTTGGCGCCATTGTTCTAGCGAGATTCGGCATTGGCCAGCTGGGTACGGTTGTAATCGGTGCGTCTGCAGCAATTCTGGCTGTGGTGTGGATGAGCCAGCAAGGCATTGCGTTTTTTTATTGGTGCCCTGTGGCGGGCACGTTGATGGTTGTGCTGGTCTGGGCGCTGGATAAACGTTGGCCGAAATCGGTATCCATGGAAGCTTAGTGTTGTCGTTGGTGACCGCTGCTGCGTTGCGCGATCTGGGCGCGCTGCCGTGACGCTGGCTTGTCGCGATGCTGGTTCTGACGGACCTTGGCGCTGCGCTTGGGTGCTGCCTCGCGTTTGGGACGGGCTTGCGCAACCTGCCGTTGGGCACGCTGCGGGCGCTGTTCTCGCTGCGGTCTTTGCGCGCGTTGTTGTCTTTCTGCCCGCTGCGGTCTTTCTGCCCGCTGCGGTCTTTCGACCCGCTGCTGCCTCTCTACCCGCTGCGGGCGCTGCTCCCGTTGCAGGCGTTGTTGTTGAGGTCTTTCTACCCTTTGCGGGCGCTCTACACGCTGACGATTTACTTGGCGCTCTACCCGCTGCTGACGCTGTGGTCGAGCATCTGTAGTGTTGTTGTCACTACGACTGCGCAGAACGCGGTTATTATGGTTCACTCTATTTACTGCGGCCTCGCGCCGTTCACGAATTTCCCGCTGCTGTCGTTTGCGTAAAGACTCATTCTGCGTGTTAGGTCGGAACTGGCGATCTGTCCGACTGCCCTGTTGCTGACGATGCACGCTGTTCTGTTCGCGACGTTGATCACGATGAATGCTCGACCCGTCAGCAATACGCTGCTCGCGGTTTGCACGATGTGTAACGCGTGGGTTGTGCTGCAGGTGGCGCTCACGACGATGCTCGCGTGCTGGCCGCTGGTCGCGATTTCGTTGGTCACGATAGTATGGCCTGGCACCAGCATACTTGCGCCGCGGCTGCCATTTTTCATGGTGGTTGCGGTCCCGTTTGTAGTGGCGGCGCTGGTGCGCACGAGGTGCATGGTAGCGGAATGTGCGACGAAAATGATTGCCGTGATAGGTGCGACCATAGTACGGATGGTAGCGATGGTTATGGTAATGGTGGTTCAGGTGATAGCTGCTCCACGACAGAGCAAACACCGAGCTTACCCCCCAGAAAGTTGGGTAATCGTAAAACCGATGGCTGTAGCTGTACGGGTAGTAATACACCGGATAAGCAGTGGGATAGTAATGGTAGACGCGTTCTGTCTGATAAATAGTGACTTCTTCGGGTTCGTAGTAAGGCACATGGATGACTTCTGGGTCTGCGGGTTTAATTGTGACCACATCGTCCTCAACCGCTACGACCTGGCGTTCGTCACTGTCTAAATTCCCCGCAGCGTAAGCCTCGTCGCGGAACGTTTGTACCGCAGCCAGCACCTCTTCCTGTTGGTCGAGCACAGCTTGTCCAAGCTGCCAGGTCCAATCGATATCATCGTTCAGAAAAGTCAGAACTTCAGGGTAGTTGAGCAACGCAACAACAGATTCGTCCCAATCTTCTGCTGGTTCGAGGTCCGCATTGCTGGCGGCGTCTTCCCGATAGCGCGCAGCGGCGACAATTTGCAGAGGATAGGTGGAAGCGGGGAGCACGATGGCAAGAAGGTCGTCCGGGTATAGCGCCACGGGGCCGACTAACTCGTTGAGCTCTTCAGCGGTGAGTAATTCTGCGGCTTCCACGCTGATGACGTTGTCATCAGAGGCGGCTTGTAGTGACACCCCTGGCAGCACAATGCAGGCCATTAGTAACCCAGCGATATAGATTCTGGACGCGTTCACTTTGCACCTCGATGCCTTAACTGCAGGCACTGTTTGACGAGCATTGAGATTAGGTCAAGTTACCTGAACTTAACCTTAACGTCTAAGTGGGAAGGGTTGTCCTGCTGGGCTGCAGGCCCAAATGTCTTATTCTGTGGGGCTTACGGCGTCTAAAGGCGGGTGGGTTTAAATCCGCGCTTTTCCAGTTTAGTGCGCAGCTTTTCCTGAATGCCGATCGCCCATGCCTGTCCCGCCGCCATTGAATCCTGAACGATGGCCGGCTGTTTTTCGATGAAACGACGACCGATATCCGACTCGTAGAAGGCCAGTAAGCCTTCGATTTCTGCAGTAGAGAAGTGTTTATCGTAAATATGCACCATAGCCGGTTCGAATTCGCTGAAATCGATTTCCTCGCGAATATCAGCCCAGACCTGTGCAGGAATAGCGGGTTGCGCCTGAGCCTGAATGGCCAGGAGTTGGTCAACCATTTGGGAACCCATGGCAATTGCGCCGGTGACTTCGAGCAAGCGGTGAATGGCGGCCGTCTTTTTAGGATCTGCACTTTCCGCAAGTACGCTGGTGGGCAGTAGTAAAAAGCAAATTGCGAACAGAAGCGGTCGAAGTGGAATTATGAGTTGCATACTGATGGCGCCGTGGTCGATCAATGGCCAGATCATCCCACAAGTTGTATTGCCAAGTCTTGAGTAGAGTATGTCTGTTGAGGCTTGCTGGAGCGCAGGGGAGATATCTGTCTCGAAAGGCGCTGAGCCGCTAAGATGCAGCCAGCCCCTCGAGACCATACTGTTTCACCAGCCCCTCGAATGCGCCATAAGCAGCTTCTTCGCTGGGAAAAGTAGTGTCGATAATAATGGTTTTGTCATCGCTGATGATCTCGAGCACCCAATCTTCTTTGTTACCGCTGTAGATTTCTACCTCAACGGTCATATCACCCTCTGCGTAGGAACCGCACATTGGTGAAAGGGTGATTTCGATTTCTTCAGACATAAGAAGAAATTGCCACTTCTGTCAGGTGCTGACAACTCGCAGGCGTAATCGTTGTGATGTCTGTTCCAGAAAACCGCAGGAATTGACCATGCTTCAAAAAATGGATGACCTGTTGAATAACCTGTTCAGATCGCATGATAAATGTGTGCGTATGCGGTACTTCAATAAAATCTGTCATGCCATCCACTTTAGTGCTTTCAACGCTGACTTTGCCGTCGTCGGGGTTTGGCAGGCTGAGTGAGAGAATTGGGTTAAAAGTTTTGTTTCCAGCAATAATGCCCAGGGGAAAATCAACCGATCCCAGCCGGTTCGGGATGCTGTTCTTGTCGGTGCCGAGTTGTATTCCGGCAGGGCCGTTGAGCGCCTGGTAGCCTGGCACGTTCTGCCAGTTATCAACAACTTCACTGCCTTTGTTGGGTGGTGCCAGCATAACAACGTACCCGAGTTGTTGGATGCTGTTGCTCGCCAGGTAATAGCGAATAAGAATGCCGCCCAGGGAGTGGGTGACAAAATGAACCGTTGGGGCATCCATGCAGGCTGTGAGCCCTTCCTTGATGGTGGGTTCAGCCAGTTCTTCGATAGGTTTCGCTCGGGAAGGGTAATCAAGATTGGCAACGCGATAGCCGCTTTCTTCCAGCTGGTCTTCCAGCACACTCATTGAGTCTGACGTTCGCGCCAAACCATGCAGCAGCACAACACATTCCTCGACTGCCAACACCGGTTGGCTGAGGAAGAGCGCGAGCAGGCCGATTAAACAGTATTTCATGGTCAGTTTTGCGGGCGTAATCCTGTTGTTTCTGTTATCTCTGGTTTGGGTTTCTCTACGCTGTCGACAAGTTTGTCGATGTAAACGCACCATGCCATAGTGTTTCGTGCTGGTGTCTCCATTTTGTCTCTGATGCCGAGCTTGAACTCAACCACCGACTGCCATTCGTCTGATCCGATATCTGGACCATGTCCATGGCCGTCGCCTGTAGATACGGCGGCATCTATGGTTTTGAACCACTGTTGCGTGCAGATATCCGATGCCTGAGGTTCAGTTTGCGTGTCGCCGCTGCATCCGCTCAGTAACAGCAACAGGCAGAAGTAAACTGCGCACCTGTTCATCGAACAAAATAACCAACGGCGCGCCAGGTTCCATTGTCGAGCGCCATTGTGACTGTTTCAACAGCGCGAGACTGCCCTCTGAACTCTGTTTGAAACTGAAAGATGATGTAATCGCCAATGGATGTGTCGGTTAGTTTGTTGCTGTAGGTTGCGGTAATGGGTTGTCGAGACGATGCTTCTCCCAGTGCAGCTCTGGCCCGCGACACCTGTTCCTGCCACTGATTGAGTGTCACCTGTTCTTTAAAAAAGGAAGCTGTTGTGCTGTATGTTGCCTGATAGTCTTTTTTATCCAGAAGGATAAGCCATTCAATCACCGCGCTTTGCGCATCGATTTTGTCGGCTGCGGCAACAGATGTTGCGGTGCAGCCCTGTGCGTTTATCAGGCAAAAAAGAACAAGCAGGCACCCCACAACCCGCGCCCTAGACAGGAAGGTTGAGCGTGATGTCAGATTGGCTGTGCAGTGCATATCGGTATGAGAATCTGTTGTTCTGATTTGTAGCTTGAGTGTAAGGGCAACAACGCCGAACCCCAAGGTGCATCAGGGCTTCTTTCCAAGGGGCCGGTCGTATCAGCAGCGGCGCAGTTTGCCCTGTTTTTCGTTGCCCCGTTTGAAGTTGCCAGTGGCTTTGGCCATCGCAAGCTGAGCAGTATGGGCATCTGCGTCACTTACCGTGGACAAAAATCGTTCTGCAGCTTTGCCGGATAGCGTTGTCACCTGAGTGCCAAGATACGCAATGCGTACCAGGCCTGTTTTGGTTGCCTGATAGGAAAAGGGTTGCTCGGCGAGCGGATCGTTGTCTGTCATCGCAATTAGGAATCTGTCTGTCTAGTGACCAGTATGCCAGCTAACTTCTCGTGCCAACCCTGTTTACGTTTATCGATACCTACCCAGAAGATACCCAGTAAAAGTGCTATGTCAGCCACGTAATAGCCCAGATAGCGGCCTATAAACTGTCCGGTGCTGGGTTTTCCGCCGGTAGTCGCATTAACCACTTTCAGCTTGAGTAACATTTTGCCCGGGGTTGCAGATTTGTAGACCCAGAAAACGATAATGGCAGCAGCAGGAAAAATGTAGTTCAGCAGCACGTCCCACGTGCCTTTTACCTCAGACGTGCTCAACCAATAGCCTGTGCCATATATCGCACTCAGCAACGGGCCAATAACCACTGTGATCAGTAGCGTATCGATGATTGATGCGGCTGTCCTTATCCAGAAACCTGCATATTCAACTTCACTTGTCATTGACGAAAGACCTCTGTGATGCCTGATATTTGCGGGCTAACGAAACCTTTCCCTGAGTTTTG